TTTTAAATATGAAAATACAATTAGCCTTTATACATAATAATTAAAACAGGCGGCGAAGCCGCCCGCATTCGCAATCTCTAGTTTCGATAAAAAAAACCTGGACCTAACAACCATCTTCTTTTTCATACTCTGATTAGTTAAAATTTAAAATCCGCATTTGCACCGGCAAAATCGAAAATTTTCATCTAGAGACCCCGTTTAATTTTTCGTAAAATTTAAAAGAAATAAAAGCTTACCAAATCAATGTAAAGTAAGTCTTTATTTTGTGGTGAAGATTTACACTTTGCATGTTTTTTTATCTTGCAAAATCCTATTTAGTCAAATCAATATCGGTGTAATGTCAAAATTTTCAGGGTAGTGATTTAATTAAGAGATTAGCGAGTTGCAGCACATATATAATTTATGACGTGCTATATGTTTTATGAAGAAAAGACAGTTTTCACTTCTAACATTTATAATATAGCTAGTTTTCTTAATTATAATAAAAATTTTTGTTATTTCATATTTTTTTTTTCAAAATAAGTGGCGTTTAAAAGATCCTGTTTTCTTTTTTAGAATTCCGAATCAGAAAATTAAATATGCAATTATGCAAATAAGTACATACTTTAAAAAAAAAGAAATAAATACGTCACATATTTTATCTAAAATCGGACGTCGAATCATTAATTCTGAAACCCCACTATCTATATTTTTTCTTTTATGCCAAAAACCTCCGAAGTATCTTATTTTAAAAATGGTTGTCATAACCTGTTTAAAGATTCGCTTTCAAGACACATTCGAACTCAATCATTGCTTAGAAGTTTTTTTTACATATTTTAATAGTCTCTTGATAAACGATATTTTAAATTTCGAAGATAATTTTCACTTTATTTTTATTTTTATTTTCTAACTAGAAATTATCATAAGGACCGATCATCAAATATTGATCCAGTTCCGAGATTAAATACAATTTTGATTATATAAACTAATTAGTCTACTATCACTATTTGTATTTATGCAAAAGTTTCTGATATGCTTAGGTATTAGCTCCGTTAAAATTTGATAATCTTCTCGCCATTTTTTAAAAACTTAAGAGTTCTTTTGCTGGCCGTTTTTCTCCTACATTGTTTCATCAGGTTCACATATTATTGCACGTCCGTAATCTGTGACAGGTTAAGCCACTAATTTCAATCACCGCCAGCGTAAGACTTGAATATTATAAACTATTAATAAAACTAAACAAATATTTATATAAAAACAATAAAAAACTTTTAATTTTACAAATAAAATAACGAATATTATAATTACTTTGAGCAAAGCAAACAATATGTCGTTTCTTTAACCGTGCTAATTGTTCAATATATTTTTTAAATGATGCTTTTTTTTACTTAATTTTACCTTTTTGAATTAAGATAACTCAAAAGAGCCGAATTCTCCTTTCTTCCATATTATTTATTCATGAACTCATGTTTTCGCAGCACTTTTGATTGAACAGTCGTGACTAAAATTATAAAGAAAAGTATTCGGAAGATTTTTTTTGTTACATTAGAATTAATCTAACACGATTCGTAATGTTGGCTAAAATTTTGACAGTTTGAATTAATAACTAAAAATGAAGTGATGCCGGAAATATCGTTCTCTTCCATTTCTTAATTCCGATTTATAAGTTTTTTTTTAAAAATATATCCAAATTTGTATGACCTGCGAGGCATTTGAAGGACCTTTCATATTAAAAAAAATTTTTTTTATAAATTTTATTAAAAATTTGTTCTCTTTTAAGTCTTATTAGAAGTCGATAGAGCTATTTAAATTTTTAATTTGCAAACTTTTATATTAGATAAAAATTAATTTATAAAATCGAAAAAAATAAATAAATATTCAAATACGATCAAATCATTTTTTATATATTCAACTTCGTAATAATAAGCCTTTTCAAATTAAATGGCTTTTTCATCCTGATTTAAGGCATAGTCGGACGGTGATGGCTTAACCTGTCACAGATTACGGACGCGCATTAAATTAAATTAATGACGTATTTATTTTGATAAATTCTATTTTTTTTTTATATGACGGTAATATATCATCAGAAAAATATATCTATTTCGTTTTTTATTTTCGGAATTTCAAAACAGAAATGAACTTTTTAAATTCCCACTTATTTTCGTAATAAGCTAATTTTGAATCACCATAGTATATGGACCTTCAAAGTCGTGATGATAACTTGAGCAATTTTCATCATAGTTAAAACAACTACCGTAAATGGCTGGATACAAGACTCGGGTCTGTTAAATCTAACTAAGCATCAAGCACTTTGATAAATTTCGATTAATATTGTGTCACATGGAATTTATTTATTTGACTGCGTATCATCATTATAGACTATTAATTAGTAAAATTCCAAGGCGTATGATATCATATCGCAATAAAATATAGTAAAATCATTATAGCCTGATTAAAAGATGCACTACGATTTGCTATTGAGCGGGATGTCGCTTAATCAACGCAATTAATTCAGACGATCTTTGTAATGATTTTACTATTCGTAATGCGAAATGCGGATTTTAAATTTAACCAATTATAAGAAAAATATGCGGTCATAACCCAAGTTTCTTTTTTTTTTAGCGTTAGTCAATCAAGTCGTTGATTGATCCGTTGAGTAACGCTTGAGAACAACTATATTAGTCTAAGATAATTCACTAAACTTTTTACACCTAAGAAAATTGATAAAAGTTAATAGTTTAAAAAAAAAAAACTTTATGGCAGAATATATAAAAAGGAAATGGAAACGATCTTGTCGTTTCAAAAATCTTGAAACAAAAACACAAAAAAAACAATAAAGCAAGTTAAATATCACACCAATTACTGAATAAAATGTCACTCCGCATAACTTTTTTAGTGTACATTCTAGTCGCCATCACATGTATCATTTTTGTTAATACCGTCTCTGCGAATGCCTTTCCCGAAAGTTTTGATCTTTCTTACGATAATGAAGGCGCCGATTCCGCAACTATGCCTTATCAAGATCTAGAATCTATCGTCCCTGACAAGATTGAAGCATCATCAGATGAATTTACCAGAGTAGGGGAAACTGCACCAAGGCATCATAAAGAGTTCTATGATTGTGTTCTTTTGTGTTGGTATAGGTCGTCGATGAGACGTCGTACTTTTACAGAATGTATCGAAACCTGTATTATCAATTTCAGACGAACAGCTTTTAATAGATAATAGATAATATTTAAGAGATATAGTTTGTATTTAGACAGTGAGATAGTGATATGAAGTTTTAATAGTCAAATTGGTTTTGAATTGTTCTGAATTTCATTAAAAATAAAAAAAGATATACGTGGCGGCACGTAAATATTTCCATGTCCAATAATGACTTAGAATATTGTCGAATTATGAAATTCGCACAAGTTTGCTAAATAGAACCATTATTGTTCGATTGTTCGACCAAGTGATTTTTTTTTTTTTTGTGAATTAAGATGAAATTTATTTTCGAAAAGAGAACTTTTCACTCTGCAGATCTAGGTTTATTTTTTAATGGTTTAATGGTTTGAAAAAAAAAACAGGCTTTCTTACAACCGAGTTTATGTATTTACATTCTACATGTGATTACACTATCTTAAAAAATCTCGATCACACTAATCGTAGAAAAAAGACAAAAAAATTATGAAACTTTGTATTGAAATTAATTTCTCAAATATGTTCATTGTTCGCAGAAAAACCTTATAATATTGAATTCTTAATTTCGTTAACGAGCTACGTTTCCGAATACATTTTTGCACATTCTATACAATATTTTTACTTTTTGCAAATTTGACAGTGTTCTAAAAATGCTGGTGAAATAAAATCAGTGTAGTGAAATAATTTCATCGTTATTGGTGAAATTGGGAAATTAATTTCACCAGCATCTTTAATATTCACACTTTTAAAAATAAAGTTAGCATCCCTGCTAATGCTTAATAATGAAAGTATACGAAAACAAAAATGTAGGAAAATTATTGCCTTTACATTGGAATTGTTCTGAATGTCATCAAATTTTGGGTGAGGATCTGAATTTCTCACTATAGCTAATACAGATTTTTTAGATTAACAAAAGTTCGGTAAATCTCAATACATATTGTAATCCAATTTATACGACAAAATAAAGCGGATATTATTTCATAATCAATTACTGTATTTAAAATCCGTAAATATATACTTTTACCGGTAGGAAATTAAATAATTCGATGCTGGATATACGTGCGTTACTGATGAACGATCAAAAGGATTAAAGGGTATTTTTTTTCTACGTATTTACGACCTTTTCATAATTAACCATGTCACTTTTTCATATATCAATTGATATTCTAATTGGTAAGAAAGTATCAAACTTCTGAATCACCTACCGGTATTTAAAGATTTTTATCGAAATTTTTAAACTAAATTTATACTTTTGATATTCCTTCATCGTCTTAATGAAATTACCTAAACTGTGAGAACGAATATTATGATATTAAAAAAGATCCTATATTTAATATGAACTTTCTAGTCATGTGTAGCTATATTGAACATATCATACAATAATAAAAAGTTCTATCATTTAAGACTTTTAGGTAAATAAAACGTAATTTATTGGCAATGACTATTTACAAAGCATCACCTCTGCAATAACTATTCATTATCTGTAACAGAATTATAATGTAACTTTTCATATCACCCTCAGCCTTTATCAGTAAATTTCAATGCGTTTATTATATTGGTTTTTTTTTACGGGATAATCTCCAAAATTCTGCGTACGTAAATGTATCGAACTAAGCAATACTAGCCAACCAAGCCTATAGAAAATCAACATCTAGACATTTACTTTTTGTTACACTAAAAACGCATGTATATAGTTATATAGTTAGATATGAAATATATACAAAATTTGATTTTCTAATAATTCTGGATATCAGATAGAATTAAGGAATATAAAAGAGCCCGAAAATCTCAAAAAAGAAAATTAAAATTTCCAAGAATATTATTTTAACAAAAACGGCGCAAATAATAATGCAAACTTCTCCCTTTATTTACAAATTAATACAAATTTCTGCAATAATACAGATTTTGCATAACACAAAAAAATTTTACGGGTTCCTGACTATTGATGTAACATTTGTATCACCTTGATTAAACGTTTAAATGTCCTTCGTTATGCTCCAGAAAAATTTGACTAATTTAATTAAAACATGAAAATTTTTTCCTTCTTTAAGAAACAAGATCATGAACAACTTTATGATCTTGGTTACAATTTTCAACATGGTATTGGTGTTAAAAAAGACGAAAAGAAAGCTTTTAAATATTATATGAAAGCTGCTAAGTTAGGAAATTCGAATGCGTTAAATGAAGTTAGTCTTTGTTATCTTTATGGAATTGGAGTAGAAATAAATTACCAGAAATCATTTAAATATTGTAATAAATCGGCTGATTTGGGCTGTGCTAGTGATGTGAATAATGTTGGACTTCATTATTATTATGGAATTGGGATTGATCAAGATTATAATAAAGCATTTGAATACCTTGAAAAGTCTGTTAATATGGGCGCTAACGGTGCAATGATTAATGTTGCTAATTGTTATCGAAACGGTACCGGTACAAAGAGAGATATTCAGAAGGCAAATTATTGGTTTAGAAAATATAGGAGTAATTTGAAAACAAATAAATCTCCTGATAATATCAATCCTGATCTTAAGAAAATATTAGATGATGAGAGATTTAAATTATCTTGGATCGATTATAATGAGTTCAGTAATATCGCAAAATTAGGAAAAGGAGGTTTCGCAACTGTATATGCTGCACGTCGAATCGATGCAATTAATA